TAAATGATTAGTTATGCGGATGTGGAATTCAAAAAAATATTTCGAATTTTGATTTTGACTGACGAACCTCTACAGTTCTTTAGAAATTCAAGGTTCCGCCGAACATGAAGCACCGGTTTAAATTTAAATATTAAGCTCATACCTTTTACAATTTTACTCATAAGCCAAAAAAAATGAAATGTCAATTCATGTTTATAGTATTTATTCTTTAGAATTTCGCAAATGCAATTATTTTTATTAATTTTGATTACAGATTTCTAGCATAGTATGCAACAAAAAATTATTGTTGATTTCTAAACATTTGAGATTTTATTAAGGTACAATATTATTTGAACCAATTTGAAAATTTTGTAATACCTATACAGTTTTAATTGTGCTAAAAATTATTTTTATTCATTGCTATGCTTTTATGACCGTAAAAATGTGATTCTATGTTAAACATTAGCATTAAATACATGAGCGAATCAGTTTTCTATATTAAGAGTATCCGCATGGTTTTTATCCATTGCTTAAATTGCTACTTATGGCGTATATTACATATTTCCTCTATTGGTGTATTTGCGCATCTTTTGAATTTATACATATAATCTTCAGGGTGCTTAAAAAGGTTCTTCGATTAAATGTGTTTTAAATTAATGGTCTTAAATTCAGGATAGATTATGAAAAAGGAATCCTGTAGTAGGGTCTTCAGCCTTTCTCGCCCGAGAGCCACATCAATAAATTCACAAAGATATGCGGTCCACATGTCTGTCAAAATGTAGTCTAGTCATAAAATTTGTATGAAAAAGGCAGGTTTGTTTTGCAAGACTACAGTTGATTCTAATTGTAGTCTTGCAAAGGCAACGTGAAAACGAATACAAATATGTAACACTATATACAAATAGTGTTACATATTTTTATATATTTATACATTGGTTCCCTAAAGTCAAATGGAAATGGAATTAAAATCTTTTGCAACATTTGTAACTATGAAAAAAAAAGTCTAAAGTACAGAACGATGTTACAAAACGCATTTACAATAAAAAAAACTTGCATTACTGGCGAATTTGAATTCCATGTTGTAGAGTTCTTTACATTCTCCATCAATTTTGGAAGGTGAGTGGAATTCTTATTTAGCAACTGACTTTCCCAGAGGATTAATTTCGTCTCAAAAGCTTTCACAAAGTAATAAAGATTATGAACAAGTAGATCTTTTCCTGGTAAGCGGTAGTTGAGATGACCTGTAATATCGATAAGAAATGCAGTCTCTCAACCATTTTCAATCACTGAACTCATGAATAGATTTCTCTTTAGATTCCATGAATTGTTGAATTTTGCTCTTCAAAGAAAACAAGCTCTGAAGCATCTTTCCTCGGTTGAACCAAAGTACCTCCACGTTTTACACAACATCACCATATTCAGCTTCCAAATCACTCGAGAACTGTCGAAATTGTGAAATTGCCTTAAGTCCTTTAGACCGAATGAAATTAATCACTTTTACAACAAAGATAAGAATCTATCCTTTTTATGGAATTGAGGTTTTATGCGTAGTCAAATTTTTAATTTTTAAAATTACATAAGATAAAGTGAAATTTTTGAAAAACTCGTCATTTTTAGAAAATTTTATCTGAAATAATATCAGGCATGTCAACGAAATGTTTTAAATATCAAAAATAGGAGAAAATGAATTTTTTGTACGACAAAAAGCTGACAAGGCAATTTTTCTTTAAATCAAAATTTAAAAAAATTCTTCAATTTTTATTCAAATTTAAATGTGGGGCCACTAAAATGACTTCAGCGGGCAACTTGTTGAAGACCCCTACGTATAAAGTAAGTCTTCATACTGCGGCGAATGTAGCTGTGTGATAGCTTTTAATTTAAGTGTATGGGAAATTAATTTTTTATTTGGGCCATTAGAAGGAAGTGCCGAAGTTATACATATATAAGAGAGATTCAATTCAAACCACGACATAGATTTAATTAAACATGTACAATGTCCGTTGCATGTAATATGGCATGCAGAAAAACACATTAGCGAAACGTATGTAAAATGCACAAGATGAATTATTCGTATCAATGAAATAAACTTAAAATATTTGCTCACCTCATTCTTACGTTAATATTTGTGATGAATATATGTTAATTGCAGCAAAGAAATTCGTGGAAAACGAACTTTTTCATATTCATTTGAACTATGGCAATAAAATTTCTTAATTTTATATTTTAAAGCACTCGAGAGTGGAGTTATTAATTATAAAAAATTGTGCAGTTATTAATCGTAAAACATTCTTATCCCACAATATCTTTTTTCGCCAATGTAGTACAATGAAAGGTTTCTGAAATATTTTCACTTTTTCCCGGTAGCACTCGTTAACGTGGTTAACCTGTATGTAGCATTAAAAGTGTTGAACACTAAAATAGTTTCTTACACAGTTGCAAAGTCATCAGGATTTTTATCGGAGCAGAAAACGTGAAAAATGTGAAGTATGGGATTCGGATTCTAATCTCCCCATGCCCTTCAGACATGCATCCAGTTACAAAGTTCCAGTTACGTGAGTTATCGTGATTAATTTTCGAATCCGAATCCTGGTGATGGCCAATTATCGTCCATCCCATTTTACTTCAGGCGCAATTGTAGAATCATTAAAATTTTTATCGAATCAGGAAACAAGAACATTATGCAACGCCCTTGTCGGGGCTCGAACTTCAGACCTCCTGATGCCAAACGGACATGTGTCCTAGTTGCACAACGGAGGCAGACGTTAAGGAGGGACAAAACACCTTACACAGTGATTGAAAGACTGAGTGAGGAGATATTAATAAAATATTTTATATTACTAATATTCGATAGTATGAGAATTATAATAAATTCCTCATATGAATAATCTTAAATGTTGTTTAATAGGTCTTTAGTGATAACTTATATCAGCGAAAACTAAATTAACCACAAAGGCCACGAGTACGTTCACCCTCTTCGAAGAATATTACCGTTTGTTGGTGAAAAGATTTTCAAACTCAACTGGCAGAGCATGCATAGGTTTGCCACTTTTAGTGTACATCGATCTTTAAAGTCACGGCCATGGACAATAGCTGTGAGGCACAAAAAAACAAACAAGTAAACAGACATGACCTTCTCCGAAACTTATGAAACCATCTGCAACATTAACGTGATTTTCACTTTTTGTTTTTAAACTGCGTATGTTAGCTAAATGTTGTCGAATCTGAATTAGCGATGTCTTTAAGCAGTTTGACAATGATGTTGCTTATCCAGTTGTTTAATACTTAGACAAATTTTGATAACTATTTTGCAAACAAATGTCATTGCGCCTCTTTATTCACTTCTAATTCATAGTACTACTTCTAATTCATATTTATTCATAGTACTAATTGTTTCATTGCGCAGATTTCGACGAATATTAAAATTATTTTACCACATTATTAGGAATTTTGATTTTAATTCGATATTACTTACTGGCATTATTTCCGTTCATTTTCTTCTTTTTAACAGAAATTCTAATTTTAATTACAAATGCCTTCTTAATTTTATTTCTTCTCAAAATGCGAAAAGTACATAAAATGTATATTACTTAGCTATAAGTATTTTCATGTGTTATATATATGCGTTAATAATAATCCCGAAATATGCAGGAATTTATCGATATTTCCGGCATTTACAGTTTGAGATTGGATTTAGAAAACTGTACAAAGACAGTAATGATTTTGCTCGAAATTAACACTCTCAAACCAAAAAAAGTATTTACTATTTAGTAATATAACAGTTTGCTGATAATTATAGTTTATTACAGTATATCTATTATTTGATGATTTTTTAACACTGTGATTTCTTTTGACAATGTAATTTTGACATAAATTTCATAGCATACAATTTGATTTTCTGGGTGCAACAACGGGATTTCAGACAAACCAATAAACATCCTTAAGAGCGAAGACTGCTACATAGCTCTGCAAGACTTCTAACTTTGGCCGTTTTCTCATGGCTAAACTTAGAATTGCAAGCTAAGGCTCAATGTAGCCGGTCATTTTGCAAAGTATTAACTAGAACTGGGTGGCTCAAGTGCGAAATCTCACGTCATTTCTCGAAATGATTAGAGTTTTAAGTTTTAATTAGAACATATATTTCAAAATGTAAAATTAATTAATATTAAATATTAAATTATCAAAAATAATTATAAATTTTATAATAATATATAATTATAACTCATTGAATTTATTTTCATTTAATTATTATTATTATTGAAATTATTTTCAATGTTAGATCTTAGTCAATTTCAAGGTTAGTGCATTGCATAGTACTAAATCTGATCGTTATTTATTATGTATGTCAGCGGCCTGTGACGCAGTTTAAAAAGAGATTGAGTAAAATTCTTAACTCGTAATATGACGAGTGAAGAATTTTGCTATTCATCTTCTGTACAAAATATTGTAATATTCTATCTTTAAATTATGTTTGTCAACTTAGTCTTTAGAAATATAATTTTAAATAAATATAACAGCTCATTTTTTTTTTATTTTTTTTATTTTAAATTATCATTCTTGAACATGCTCTTAAAAGTTTGGTAGAACAAAATCGATATCGCTTAAAGCTTCAGTATATCTTCAAATCTCTTCATCTGTCCTAAATATAATAATTTGTTAATCTTTACCAGTAACACAAAACAATAGAGCTATATCAAAATAAATCGGCCTCTACACAATCGAAATTGAGTAAAAATTTGAAATATTCCACTTATTTCTCTGGTTTAGTTAACTTAATACTAACAGTCGACTCCAAGTCTTTGGTTGCCCACTAGTAGCGTCAGTTGAGGTGAAGTAACCAACATTTGCCGTTTATTAGTATAATATTTCAACTAATATAATGTCATTTATCAGCTTAATTTAATCTGTTGAAAATGTTCATAAATTTTGTATTTTATTATTTTATCTGGTTTTTTATTATTTGTATCGTTTACTATTTTTACATATTTGATGTTAATCTTTCGTTTTTCCTTTCATTTTCCTAGGTGGTTGACGCCGCTGTTCTTAAAAGGTAAAAAAGGTAATCTCAAATTATCTGACATCTATGATTGCCCCACTGTGGACTCATCAGAAAAGATTGGAGAAACGATGCAAAGGTATGTCAGTATTATTCTAAATAAAAAGACTTCACAGCTCCTAAACGTGAAGTTAATACAGTATTACGAACAGAATAGGCAACATTGTAATGTAAATAAACATAAAATTCTGATAAATAACAAACGTCTCACCTATCATCTGGAATTTTAAAGCAGAACGAAACATTCAACCATAAATTGTAAGAAGTAATGCAGAAAAAATACCTGCATTTTGATAGACTCTTATAAAGATATGCCTTCTTCAAACAGAAAAACATATTCTGCACTATTTTGCAAGAAATGAATTTGCACTGAAATAAGGTATGTAACAGTAACTGAATGGCATTGAAGAAAATAATACTTGTAGCTTCACCTAATGAACAAAATAGAGAAGCGTAAGAAAGATTATCTTAAAAAGGGCTATCTTAGATAAAAGCCTTTTTAAAACCCTTTAAACATTCTGGAGATTTCTTAACATTATAAAGTACTAGAGATTAGTTTATTATATTTGAGATTTTCCAAAATTCGCGTATGTATATACATGCACTTAATATATATACTTTAATATGTTTTTCTATCTATCCATATCTATCTATCTATATATATATATTCTTTTTGTTGTGGCTGATTTGCTGAATCCAGAATTAATATATTTTAGTGGTTTCGTTATTTTAAATTTGAAGTCTGTGTGTGTGTTATAAATTAAACCGAATAATACTAAAAAGTAATTTTTTGTCATCTCAGCTTTATAAAATATACACTCAGAAAAGTTTCTTTAAAAATAAACTTATAAAACTTTAAAAAAAGATGCGCAATTTTCTATTACGTCATTACTGCGTATAACCTTGTAGGGAAATATAATTTACTTCTAACGTGTAAAAATAAATAATAAATCAATTGCAAATAAAGATTAAATAAAATCAACCGATTATCAATTGTCAAATCTAATTCATATTCTGTAAAAAATACTTTTGTAAAATAAAGAGTAGAATTTTTTTATTAAAACCTCCTGAAAGATGTCATCGCCTTTACTCGGTCATGAGATTTTTTGTCACTTGTTATATATTAGCTTATAATTTCAAATATTTTGCTTTCTTACTTTCTTTAATTATGTAAATATCATCTTAATGAATGGAAATTTATGAAAATAAAGACTAAAATAAATAATTATACAAATTTAACTAATAAATGCTGCTTAAATGCAAGTCTTCATGAGCAAATTCAAAAAGCTGTGCCTCTCAGGGTGTTAACTGCATTGAATTACAACTAATTACTTTTATTGCACATTTAAGTACATTATTATTATTAATATTATTTCCCCTCCAGAGAATGGGAAAAGGAACTTCGAAAATTAAAAGATGGAAAACAGCCTAGTCTTGTAAAAGCAACAATTCGAAGTTTCGGATTATATTATTGCTTGAATGGATTTTTCACCCTTATTGAAGTAAGTACACTTCTAATATTCTTATATTCTATAAATTTTGCAATTCATGTTAAACAAAAGTTACAAGCAAAATTATGAAATATTAATGTAGAAGATCATTTAATTACTATTATAAACTCCTTTTTCTTGTTGCTTTTTAAGATTGTTAAGGGAATACTTAAAGACACAGCATTGAGAAATCATGGCTCAAAATGTGAACTCTGCCTATTTATTTATTTCAGGAAATTAAAGTATTTACATTGATGAAAAATGAAACCCCCAGCAACAAGAAGAAATCAATTTTATGGAATGACTAATTTTACTATATTATATATTTTATTTTAATTAATTGACTGAATTAAAGGAATAAAGCATTTGTCTAGGTACCTTATTTATTTGTGTTTCAAGGATATAGATTAAAGTGCACGCCATTTCAAATGTGAAAGGGTAGTACTTAATAACCGCTGAAATAGCTAAGATGTTGAATGTATGGGGGGATGCATTGTGTCATATATATATAGGAGCTGTATGTCATTTTGTGGGATGGAGTTTCATGCCTGTTGCACTTGTTCAATCAAATCTATGCTGGTTTTGTCTTCTCATGCGCATTCATTAGGAGAAAGACCTGATGATCTCGCAGACCAAGGCAACATGTTGACAATCTGTAGAACACTTTGGGTAATAGCAACCGGTATGAGGACGAGCTTTACTCTTTTGGAAAATGTTCTCTGGAATATTGTTCAAGAATGGCAGCACAATCGGTGCAGTCGCTAGTGTAACATGCAAATTTGCTGTTCAAATTCATACGTTCGTTAAGCGAAATAAAATTTATTGCACTAGGAGAGGTATCAAAATAATGTTAAATTTTGTAGTTAATTTATCTTCACGATTTACTGCTTGATCAGGCATATAATAAACTTTAGTTTTATTTTCACATGTATTTAAATCAACTTTCTCGGCTACTCCTTCTGCATCACGCCTCGAAATAATTTCCTTATATTTATTGAGAAAAGAACGTTTTCTCTTAAATTCTTTAACTAATGTTTGAAAATGACTTTCAGCATTGGCATAGTTATTGGTAAGACCCGCGTAACGCTAGAGGTCGCCGAGAGCGCCAGATTGAGATATTATTATATTTAATTAAATCAATTTATATTTTATTGATTGGTGGTTATTGATTTTGATTTATTCATATTTGATGTGATATTATGTTTTGTTGAACCACCACACTTTCGACAAAGTTGGATTACCACTGAATCTTCAAACCACTGATGCGCAGCTATTATATAAAGATTCAATCTTTTCGTTCTATGTACGATTGACTTGATAACAGCCAACAGACGTTTGATAGAATTTTTTACTTCCTTTAAAACTTTATCTTGTTCTAAATTATCTTTTCACGAGATTTTCAAACTTCCTGAATCAAATATTTTCTTTAAAATCTCAGTTTCTTCTAAGCTTTCGTTTCGAATAATAACCTTCATTACTTGTATAGAGTTCGATGTCATTGAGGTGTCCAGACAGATGAATAAATATACTACTTCTGCTTATATTCCCGCTGAAGTACCTGCATTCGTTTTATTTTTCCATTAACGATATTTCAAAAATTACTTGAACCAATTAAAAAGGATATTTTTTAATTTTCAGAATCTGAACATTCAGCCATTTGTATATTTATCTATTTACAATATTTCCTAATTTCTTTCCCAGGGCTTTCGATTATCGCTTCGGAAATACATGGAGTTCCGTTATGGACTATCGTAGATAACTTCTAAATGTATTATTTCTTTTGAATTACAAATATTCTCAATTTTACTTTAATGAGATTACGTTTTGTTCTCATAAACCAAAAAGTAAAAATAGTTAAGCATTCCTGTCATTTCCAAATTTAAATTTAGGTGATATTCTGCTTATCAATAGAAGTTCTTTTAGTGCCAGTGTCAAATAAACGTACAATTTTTATTTCCTATCCCTGCACTCATCAAAGCAGTAGCTGTCTAAATGTATGATGCAACGTTCTCTACTGAAAACGGAATAAATTAGTGTATGATTTACATCACTGTTGTTGATGTCATCTCTCTTTTTGCTTATTTCATTCTCCGACAAACTGTTTGTCATGGTTACCTATTTGCAAATATAATGACTGCGTTTTCATCCACATTTCGTGCACCGTATGCGATCGTGGTAACATCTGCAAAAACACGATTTTTTCAAACAATTAAAAACAGCATCTAAGCCTAGATAGAGATATTAGTTGGTCTGTAGAACAAAAATACGCACGCATTTTTAATTGTAGTACTTAATGCAACTGCTGTTGGTTAACGTTTAGAATTTTTTATTTTCTGAATACGAGTCCTTTATCAGCTTCGTTTACCCCGCGAAACAAAAGTGTTTTTTAGCGCATTTCGATTATTCTTTAAAGGAACTGGAGTCATGTTTAGCAGTTCCACGATTCTTCTTCCTTAATTATATGATGTAACTGTCTCAGTTCAATTAAATTTGAAAGTGAAGAAGAGTTAAGCCTAACGGTTTTTATGGTAATTTCGCTTTTTACAAATCGTTGTTTTTAGTTCAATTGATAAATAATAATTACTTAGATTTAATGTTAATCCTTGTACACATTTTAATACAAAGCTTTTAAAAATGATTTTCAACAGTTAAATTTGTCAACTTTTACTAATTGTCTGTTTGCACGAACTCCAACTTCAGACAGTCGCCAAAATTTCTGCCAGTCTTCATTTTTTCCGTCGAAAAATTATTTTTTTCTGTAATCTAACATTAGGATAATGACTGTTTATACCTTCTTCAGAAATTCTGGAGGATTCAAAAATTGACGGTTCTCAACCAAGGGGGAATTCTAGAACTGTGCTTTTCACAGATGAGTCGAGATTCAGCCTGTACACTTATTTTTAATTACAATTTTACTTATTTTTAGTCACGCATCAATCTGAATTTATTAATGATGCTTACCCCTCATTTACCATTACTTTAGAATCTCTGTTGAAAGAATTACTTAAAAAAAGTATTGATTTATTATAATGGCCTTAAATGAAAAATGGAACTTAAAAATTCAGGAAAGAAAAATATTTCAGAATATACAGTGTAATCTATGGCGTATAATAATGTATACTCAAAGATCCAATGAAAGTCTACTGTCGTGTCATAAACATATTTAGAACTGTTTGCAAGTTTTTAAACATAAAGTATAAGTTTAAAAGTTTCCTTAGTATATTGATTGTGGCTAATCTTTGGAATATGGTAACAGGTAGTTTGGCGACATTTTGGTAAGGCGATAAAGGTTACTTAAACAACAAAAATCATTTTGCGGTTTTGCAGCTGAAGATGATGGTTCGGTAAAACCATCGAAACTAGTCCTGTGAAAAAAAAAAAAAAAAGGTTACTTACTAGCTAGGACTTTAGCAGTGTACATGGATAAAGTCAAGAGTATGCGCAGTGCCATTTTTATGCAATTCTGGGATTTTTTTTAAGTGAAAATAGGTCGACGTGTACATGGATACCGTGTATGTGCAATTCTTGAAAACCCGGCAAGCAGTGGGCGATTCTGCACTTTCTCCCAATTTCGCACCTACTCTTCCTCATGATTAAGCACTTTTGTTCCATAAAAGTTCTAGCATAAGCGTAATTCGGCTAGCAGATTGTTGGAAAAAAAGAAGGTTGAGTTTTAAAAGAAAAAAAAAAAAAAAAAAAAAAACATGCCTTTACTTCGTGATAACAAAATGGCATCCCCCCCCCCAAAAAAAACTAACAGGTTGCTGTAGCAGGGTTGGTCGCCAAATTTTCGCCAAAAAATCGTTAAGTTACCATAATCCAAAGATTAACCTTGATTGTTTTCATTTAGAGTTTTTTCATAATCAAAAGGTCTAAACTTATAAGGTACCTCTCCCGCTTTCCTAGCGTGCCTTCGTGGTGTAGTGGTTCTGCACGCTGGGTCGGTATTCCAGAGGTGCGTGGTTCGATTCCCGGCGAAGATAATTGCTTGGCTTCCAAAAATGTCTCTACAGTGGCGCCCGAACTAAAAAGGGTTTGGATGATGAATCTTCACACCCAGGATTTCCGAACTAAAAATAGTGGTAGATGATGATTCTCTACCATCTAGATTTGGCGATTGAGTCGCCCTTTAAAAAGGGGAGTATATAAAGGTATCTCTCCCACTTTCCTAGCATGCCTTCGTGGTGTAGTGGTTCTGCACACTGAGCCGGTATTCCAGAGGTCCGTGGTTCGATTCCCGGCGAAGGCGTTTGCTAGTTTTCATGTTACCTGTTTAAAAAAAAAATCCTGATGTCTCTACAAACTGTTTGTAAAATTTACACCTACAGGTTATTTTATTTTATTCATTGTATTCGTCTTCAAGGATGTTTATTTATTTTACCTCTTATTCGAATCTATGAATATACAATTCTGATATTTTCCTGATTTTAGGTTATTTCTTTTCAAAAGCAATAGATGTGTTTTGGAAAATTAAGAAAGTTATTAATTGCTTGCAATTCCGCTTTTTATTCAGTGAGCCATCTTGTAAGGTTTATCTTAATTAACATATTACCCTATTATTTTATCCATACTGTCACATTTACTTTCATTGAACTGCCACCCACTTTTGTCAGCTCCACTTATTCTTGGCACCGTGTTATTGCTCAGAGGAATTTTTCTGATGATATCTGACGGTGTCTTATGATGAAGAACGGTTTTTATTACCTCGTTGACTACTGGCAAGATTAATTCCTCGCCAATTATACCCGCTTTTGCGATTAACACTGAAATATTATATGAGGTTCGTAGTCCATCATTTTCTTGTTTAGAAGACGACGCAAAAAGGTTTGATATAGTTGGCTATTTTAAATGTCTCTTTTCTGAAAATAGGATAGGTCTTTGTCTTTTTTATCAGCAAGCATTTCATTTAAATGGTCTTCTAACCTAGCTTTATTTTATTAAATCGTTTTGGAAAATTATACACATAGGTAATGATAGGTTTGTAGGAGAGTACGTAAATCCATATTTCAAAT